CCCAGACACACAGCACCCAGCTCCATGGATGCATCTCTAGGCACCAAGCCCAAAGGCCCTGCCCAAACAGGGGGCAGGCGGGGGGGGAGGGGGTGTGCTCACTGCAGACAGCTCCAGGCCCCTGAGGGACAGAGCAGCCTGGGCCCTTAACCCCTCCCCATCCCCCCCCACAGAGAGCTGGGAACAGCATCAGCTAGGGCACAGGAGGGAGTCGGGGTTCCTGGCCTCTAGACCCACCTGTGACCTCAGCCAGGCCATTTTGCCTCCTCGAGACTCCGTTTCCTGATCTACTTCCCTGCCCCACTGTGCAGATAGGAACCCAGCTCTCCCCAATCCCAGGACCCACTGGGAGGCCCCCGTCCAGCGCGGGAGGCAGCCCCCAGCCGGATGGATTTGCTATAAAAAGACAGGCCAGGCACCCCCCACGCACACAGCTGCTGCCTCACCATCATTCACCACCCACCCCTCCCCAGCACCCTGCTTGCAGGACTCAGACAGGGAGCCGGACACCCCCCTGCTGGGGCTGAGCAAGCCCCCGCCCAGGGGCCAGGCGGAGCAGGAGCCACCTGAGCTGTTCTCGAGCATGCGCCCCACGGGCAGGGCAGCCCTGGGGTCAGCGCCCTGGCTCAGCTCACCACTTCGACCCTCTCCAGCAGTCCTGCCCACCCCCACTGTCACTATTGGGGGCTGTGACCTCTGCCCACCCCATACGGCAGCCCCCCCAGAGCCTGCAGCTCCCCCTCCATTCCCAACCCCCCAGGTTCCAGCTGTACCGCCAGCAGGAAGTGGTCAGCTACGGCACGTGGCTACTGTCATGAGCTCAGGGTGTACTGAGTCAGGCTGTGATGCCCCTGGGGCAGAGACTCACTGCTGCACCCCGGCCCCATGGAGCTCGGATTTCAGCCTGCCCCTAGAACAGTGGTTCCCAAACTTTTCGGCATATCGCCCTCTTTTTGATTTTTGAAAAGCCCTCAACTGCCCCCCCCAGCAAAACTTGAACAAAAAAAAAAAAAGAGGAACTTGCTGGGGCAGCAAAACTTGATGGGGGGGCACAGAAGCTGGGTTGCCTCGTGCCCCCCCTGGAATTTCTTCATGCACCCCAAGGGGGGCACACCCCCCAGCTTGGGAACCCATGCCCCAGAAGCAGCATCCTTGTTATTAGCACCCACTGCCAGCCCTGTGGAATGCCCCCCGCACTGGGAGCTGGAGGGGCCTAGCCTGTGTCCGGCAGGGTGCATGGCTGGCTTCGGGGCACCTGGGGAAAGCTCCCTGCCCTACAGTGGCTGGGCTGCCTTTGGCAGGGGGCTATTTTAGGGCACAGCACGCATGCAATTAGGCTGCTAACCACAGGGGCGCTGGGAGACTCTCCCGGCTGCAGGAAGAGCTGGGGCCAGCCTGAGGCACCTGCAGGCAGGGAATTAGGGAGCAGACCTCACAGGCAGCAGGACCCCTCCCTCCCCCCAAGAGACATCACCCCCAGTTCAATCCATTTGCAGGGCTGCCAATGCTGCTGCACGCCGTCAGTGGCCTCGGTGGCCATATGGCTGAGCTGGTGGGAGCTTACGGAAGAGCTGTGCATGCCCCAGGCTCCCCTCCCCCATGGGGTGTGCAAGGTCCTTAGCCACACAGCCCATGCAAGCCTGGCAGGTGTGGGGCAGGAGTCCAGATGCCCAGGCTGCTTAGCCAGCTCTGCCACTGACACCAGGGGCACATCCTTTTGCCCTTGCTCCTCATGCTCCCACACCCCTCGGGGCCCCGGCTGCTCCCCCAGCTTGGGAAGGGCACGATCCAAGTGAAATTACAACAGCCACACTCACGTGCAAAACAGTCTCATTGTATTGATCAGCATCTGTGCCAAGCGTTGTAACCGCAATGCCCGTGTCTGTACAACCCTCACCTCCTCCCCCCTCTAACTGCCCCAGTGTCCCAGCCACTGCCCCACCACTGTCAGTCTGCTCTGGGGTGGAGGGGAGACGCTCCATTTTATAGACACGGCCAGCCAGGGAGCTCTCATGCTGAGCCACCCTCTTCCTGTGGCTATTTCCTGAGAAACTTTTCTGAGAAGTTCCAGGGAGGGGAGTCGATTTCTCTCCCCTCCCCCAGCATGGGGACGGAGTGAACTGAGAGAGGGAGCCCCGTGTCCAAAAGGGCTCCCATGCACAGGCCGGGGCTGTCCCTCCGCGCTGACTCCTCGCTCCAGAGACCCTGGCAAGATGCTTGCTAGCCTGCAGGTCAGCCAGCCCCCTGGGTTTGATCCTGCTGGGTGCTCTGCAGGATTGGGCCCCAGCCCTCCGGAGGCTTCTCACCGTCCATGTGACGGCTGATTGTGAGTCGCTCCGCACCTCCATCTCGCACAGCCAGTCACGAGCACTTTTGCAGGCAGCAGGAGGTTACAGCAGGCTCTCCTCTCTCCACCCACTCGGAGGGCGAGGTGGCACCGGGTGGAGCAGCACGGGGGAGAGATGCAGACAGCCCCAGGGTTCAGTCATCTGGGGGCTGAGCCGCTGCTGTCAATAGGGCTGG